GAGTGTAAAAGGCATAGCAAGCTTTTGCCCCTGCTGTAATAACTGGAATTGGTTAGAAAAATGCTACAAGTATATTGCAAAAGAAAATCTCCAAATGCTTTTCTTTGCAACTCTTTCCATTTTTTTTTAATTTAAAAATACAGTTGTGTTAATTTTTTCATTCAGTAACAAGAGAGGAAAACTCCCTCTTCCCTTCATAATTCCCTGCCTTGGGAAAAAGGGAAAAAAGGGAGGGAGGAAGAAGAGAGGGTTGCTGGGATGATAATGACTTGAAATGTTTTTTCTTGAAAAGTTAAAACATTTTGGAAAGAAATTTTCCACATTTCTTCTTGCTTTTGAAAGATCCTTTTTATGAAAATTGCTTTAAACTCCAAGTATTGGCTAACTTTATAAACAAAATTCTTTCCCTGTTTTATTAAAGGAAGTAAACAAGGCACGAGTGATGTCTGAAGCAACAATTTCCAAGATGACTGACACACGGGAACTTTTATCTTTTCAGCTATAAACTTTGATTGGTTTGCGTCCCCCCTGCCTCACTTCCTCCTTGCCTCTTTCTAAAAATTATTGCCTTTCAGTTTGTTTTAATGGTGTTTATGTAATGTCATAAATATTCTTGTTTAGAACTGTAATTATTCCCTATGATTAATTCTGCTTATTCTGAGAGGTTGTGCAAGTTTTTCACTGGAGGGTATGTCTTTTATGTTCATGTGTTTCTCCATGTAAAATGCAATGTGTCCATTACTAAAGCTGTGCCTGGGAAGGCAGGGTTAACGCTTTTCCTTTTTCCCGTGGCAATGTTTGGAAGCATTTTTGTGGAGTGTTTAGTATCATTCCTCTTCGGGTTGGGATTAAGGTAATTGACAGGGCGTTGGGCCAGGGGTCCTTTAGCTGTCCAACCTCGGCTGCATGGGGTGGAAGCATGCCATGGCCAAAGTCACTTCCTTTCTCTTTCTTTTATATCCCATTAGTCTGCCTGTGTTTTCGATTTCAGAGGAATTCCTATAAATACATCGACTGTAGCTGCTAATTGTGGGTAAAACATCATGTGGAGTCGGTGGGAGTTTTCCCAAAACAAGGACTACAGGACTCAGCCCTCTGTATTCTGTGAAATGTATTTGCAGTATGTGGAGATAACGATCAGCATTTTTGTGACAACTGTTCTGCGTTACATTAGGGCAAGCAGTTGAAATCAGACCTTAAATAACAGGCTGAGTCCCATCCAACACTGCAGAAGTGACTGACAGTGCATAAAGGCCAGATGAGTGTACATGGTGCCCAGCACGTTTACCTTTGCTGTTGTGCCTCATGTAATGAGTTAAAAGAAGATGGATAGCAAGACTTTCATGCCCCAGAGCAAAGGAAAAAAGCTTGGAGGAACCGAGCAAAAGTTATACTTTAAAGAATGTATAGAATATATACTCAAAATACATGGCTTGTCTGCTTCAGTGTATTTCAGGCATAATTTTACATAGTAACATTTTTTCCTAATGTCTTAGCAGCCTGAAAAGCCTAATCTTCTGGAAATGTTTGGCTGTCATCCTCTTAGAAGGTTTCGCAAGCAATCATGTTAATGCCCAGATGAATTGACTGTGATTATTCAGCATAAAATGAAAGAAGTTATGTACTATTTGGAGAACTTGTAGAGTTTAATTTTTGTTCAAGTCATTTGCAGAGGCCTCTAGGCAGCTTCTAGCACCGCTGGGGAAGGGTTTGTAGCAGGGGATCAGCATGCTGTTGTTTAACACCCAAAGGAGGAATAGGCTGAAAGCACAGGACCCTGCTCTCGGCACTGCAGGAGCCCCACAAGGACCCCTCGGTCCCCCCCTTGATGCCGTGGGGGTCACGGAGGGGGTCAGCCAGGCCAGCGGGGAGAGGACAACCTGTCACTTGCAGAAAGGAGAGAGCATTGGACACAGCTCTCGCTAAGCCAGACCATGGTTTTGCCATGCTCATTCAATTATATCTGTATCTAAAAAAGAAAAGAAGAATGAAACAGTGATTAGAAATGCAGTTTACATAAAACAGTCTATAAAAACAGGCAGGAAACTGTTGGGAGACCTCAGTGGAAAATCCCAGAAGAGGCGGGTGTCCCCACACGTTCTCTTTCCAGGCCCCCGTCACAGAGCCAGGGATCTCATTAGGTCATGTTTACCAAAGGCGCTTGTTTTCTGTCTTCTGATTCAGCCAGCGACGGGACACGGGGAGGACAAAGCCTGTCCTAAGTGACCACCGATGGAGCCAGCCCTATTCAAGGATTAGGGCTGCCATGGAAACTTGGTTTGCAGAGCTCACCACCGCAAACACGGCATGAATGGCCAGGTCAGCACCCGAGATTAAAGGGGAGGGAAGGAGGGGGTTGAGCAACTGTTTGCTGAACTCATTTCAGGAGTTTTCCTGGAATAGTCCAATATTCCAAAAATTGGAATGAAGAGTTTTTAGTTAAAACCAGAGTGAGGATTCCCCTTGTTTGAGAAAAGGGCTGTGTCCTTTGGATGCATTCAATGAAGGACAGCAGCAGAGCTGAGCTAAGTATCGATTTAAATTCAGAATAACCTTAAAAGACCTAGAAGAGGTTTAATGATCAGCCGTATGCTGAAAATGAATCCCAGAGGGCTTATCGTTAATGTAATGATTTACACAACGTGTTATCAGCCACTAGATTAGGAGTTCTACTTGTGACTCTGATTTTGATCATTGTGAGACAAAACTCATACTCAGGTTTTGACTGTACGGATCTATCAGCTAGCTAATCCTAGATGTGTTAAAAGCATGATTGGCTGTTTCACTACCTGGAAAATAAAACTTCTCTTACAACATCATGAACTTTGCAGCAAAGTATATTTTAACAAGCATCTCTGCTTTTCTTTTTTTTCTTTTCATATCTAAAATGATATATTTTTTCCTTCCAAGTCCCATGGTTGTGGGATAGCCTGTGATTTGGGAGACCTAGATTTACATCCTTCCATCTTACAGTCTTCCTTATGACCTAGAACAAGTTCCTCTGTCACAGGAGTTCAGAGAAACGTAGGTGTGCTCTCCGCAGCCTGGCAGTATCTACCCCAAGGGTTACCTGTATGTTGTGAAATGCTCAGCTGGAGGCTGGGCACTTGGGAGCCAGCTCTGCTCTGAAACCCAGTGCAGATGCATGAAAAATACCTTAAAAGACAGGATTGCAATTCATCACCTCAAACTTTAGACCTGGAGGGAGCAGAGATGGCTAAAGTGGTTTTATTAATTTCTTGCTTAAACCATGCTCTTAGATGCAGCTGTGAACAACACAGTCAGGTTAGAAGAAAAAGCTAGTACGTGAAAGCCTGGGAGACAGCTGCAGTGCTCTGGTAGGTGTTTCTTCCTAGTCGCATACTGATATCCTGAATGTTATTACTTGACTGTGTTTTTCAGCCAATTGGGCACCCATTTTGGAGAACATTTGTTTAAAACTTATGTCCTTAGCAAGGGAAATGTCAGAAAACACATTATTAAACTCAAAATTGAACCCATGGATCCTTTTGCAGACAGTAAAACATTTTCTCTCCCAGTGGAAGAGTCTGTGGTTTGACATTCTTCGTTCTTCACAAATCCAAGTTAACCAGTTCTTTTTATCAGAGTTATTCCTACTTGCTATGAGGCAGTTGCTTAATACTGTGTTCAAGTATCTTGCCGAGGTTAAACCGGTTGGTCGTTCCCCAAATTTTCCATTTCTGCACAAGATAACGTGTCAACCTTTCTCTAGTGCTCTGGGGCCTCATAAACCCCCAGGAGTTTCTAATGGCTCAGCAGTTGTCCTGGTTAAGCTGAAAACTGAATTTCCTCATTCCTTTCTTGTCTTATGCAGAGAAGTTTGAGGGTTTAAAACTCTGCTGAATGAAAAAACTGAAGTCGGGGAGAAGTGCTGGAAATCAAGCAAAGTCAATGGCAAAACCTTCACAGTTTTTATTGGAAGGAAGACCTGGATCCGAGGGCATAAAGCTGAAGAGGGACAGATTGTAAAGCTAGGCACTAGCAGTAAACACAAGAAAACATCCAATTCTTATACAATGCCCTTTAAATTACCTGTTTGCAGCAGCACACTGCAGAAATATGAACTAAAAGAAGGGAAACTGCAAAAGTTTGATCTCCTAATGTTAATGTTGGAACAACTGGAGCCGTCTGTGCAAATGTAGGTTTGTAGGTTCTGCACGGGCACGCTCATCTCTGCAGAGCTGCTGCGGGATCTCGCTTCACACGCGCACATGCAAACCTCAACCATCCTTGCTGCTCTGATTCCCCTGGGAGAAGTGACCTAAACTTTTGTTTTCTTTTGTTCGGATCCAAAGGGATCTGAAGAAAATTCCTCTCTCAACCTGTGGCTCAATATGTAAAAGTCCACATGCATGTGCATCTGGCTCACTCTGGCTAGGATGCCTCAAAGCTGCCTTTTCTGCTTATAAAAATGTTAATAGTTTGTTGCTAAATACACTAAAAAGGTTCCTTAGATCCTCATTTACATATGTTTTGTATTATCTGTGTTTTTGCCTTTCATGGTTTATTCTTCCCTCCCACAACTTGCCACTATCCCCTTCATTAACCACCTAACTGAAAGCTGACATTTTCTGATTTATTATTCCAAGTCCTCTTAAAGTCACCAGTCAGAAGAATAGCTGTGCCCTGTTTGGTTAAAGGAAGACATCTAATACCAAATTTTGTCTTTCCTGTGCTTAAAAGTATTTTTTCCTCTCCCCTCAGTAAGAGATGAAAAGATGACCCTGCAGAGCAAAAGTCTCCATTAAATCAGCCATTGGAGAGGAGGCAGGCTGGGTTTTTCATTTGAGTTTATTTTGTTTTGTGCTTAAACATATTTTGTTAATCCATGTTGGGAAAAAAAAGGGGGAGAGTTGCTAAAAGAAGGGCAATTGCGTCCTCCCACCGGAGTTCAGCCTACAAGCTACCCTTTCTTGGAAGCTGGTTTGATTTCCCTTGGATTTTGCTTCTGCAGGCAGGGTGTTTTATCTGCCTTTTAGCCTCTGACCCAAAGGTGTGACCTTTTCACTTTTATCTCTTTTGGAGTAAGCCTGGGCCCTGTCAAAGTTCCCCGAGAGACTAATGGTAAGTGCAGAGCAAGAAGGGTCATTTCTGACAGTGAAGAGGAGAGAGCGCTGCGGTGGGTGATGGTGAGGTGCCTCCAGGCTGCTCTCCGGGACAGGTACCTGTGGTCCTGCAGCCCAAGCAGCCGTGTCTGCTGGCACCCCCGACACCGAGCAGCAGTGGCGGCCTGAGTGCAGGCGACCGAGGGCTAATCCCTGCTAAACCCATCTTTGCCTCCCACCCTATCAATGCAGCAGCAATAAATAAAGGCATAATCCATTTCAGGAGAAATGCTTGCTTATCTCCTTTTGTTTAAATCGGACAGATTTAGTCCTGGTATAAAACGGCTCATGGAAATAATATTCAGCTGTTACTATTAGCCTTTATGTTTTTTAACTCTCCCTTCTTTCTACAGAGAAGTCTTTTCTGTGTCCTTGAATGCAAGATGCGTTGAACTTTAAAAATGTACGTTCAGTTCTTGTATTTTACAGACCCGCAAAACCTGGGTTCTGGGATGCCAGCAATGTCAGCAACAGCATCTCTCAAACTGCCCAAAGAGGACAGGGAAAACCAGCACAAGAAGAATGCATCTGTGACGCAGAGCTGCCTGGGAGGTCTCCTGCCAGGATCCTTCCTGATGCTGGAGCAGGAAGAGAAACTGCGTAAGTGATGTGATTGAGTTTCCCCTTTGGTGCTGGTATCTGTTTCAGAGCCTCGGCAGCGACTGCTGTGACGGGTCCTGCTCGTCCTGCTCGAGCATCGAGGGAGGGAAACCATGCAGGAGCCGCGGAGGCTCACCCTGCCCCAGGCTACGTTGTGATGGATCGGCACGCGTGGAACAAGCACTCCTTCGGACTGCTTTATTTCCTGACCTCAGCAGCGAAGAGGGAAAGGAAAAGGCGAATAACGGCTACACGCTGTGGGATTCCCTCCTTCTGTTTTGGAAAAGAAAGTGCAGAAGGGAGTCAGAGAGCCAGGGAAAATGAGTGAGGTGGTTTTTGTGCTTTTGGTTCAAAGCCTGCAGTCTGCCTGCGTGGTTCCACTTGGTTCCAGTGGGTGTGAGTTTGGACCAGAGCTTGTTTTGAAAAAAGGGGTGTGAGGGGTGTGCAGAAAATTCCTTTACAAGAGGAGGTCCTGCATCATAGAGAAACCTCTCCACGACACATTGTGAGGAATGAAGTCCGGCTGGAGACCCCCATTGCAGGGAAGCGTGGGGAGTCGACATATTCTGTAAGGGAAAGGGAGAGTTTTCAAATATGTGTTTTTTATTAAAAAAATTCCCATATAAATTTTCTGTGGAAAGGAAGGATTTCTCACAGAAATCTCCCACAAAGAATATAGCTGCTCTCTATAAAAACCTTTCCAGTTTTAAATAGAAACATTTCCATCCAGGTTATCCTAGAAGTGAGGGCTCTGACCCTCACGTAACTTCTGGAGGGGCATGTGGATCAGGAGTGCAATCCTCTGGCTGGATATAGCTACAAAATGGGGCATGGCATGTGTTCAATATTCTGTAAGAAACACAGGATAATAATGATTAGGGAGTCCTTCCCTCTCCATCTCTCTTGTGCCCAAAAGCCACTTTGTGCATGTGCAGTAGCTCTAATAGACCAGAGCCCACCAGAGCAAAACCAGTCACCCGTTAATAACACAGCCGGATAAAACCAAGATGCTTTGCTATAAAAAATGCTTTTTGCTTTTTTCTATAACACAAATGCCCCTAAGCACAAAGATGTCTTGTACATTCTAATGCACATGGCTCATTTCTTCATTGTATTTCCAGTGTGTGCGCTTTGGTGGAGTCTACTCATTTGCAACATCTCTGCTCCCCCCCAGACCAGCCCGCTGCATGCCGGAGGCTGCTGCTCACCCCAGCTTCCAGCGTGTGCCACATCAGTGGAAGATGAATCATGGCTGGTGTTCGGGCTTTGCAGATGAAGCTTCAGATTCCCAGCTCTTCTCTTGGATTGTGACAGTGCTCTTATTTACCTTGCTGTTTTTTTAGTTAAAAAAAAAAAAGAAATGTTAAGGCAGGAAAAAGAAAAGTTCACCCAGAAATGAACCATGAATGTCCACCCTTCAGTTGTACAGAAAACCCATTCTGCATTTCTTTCCTAAAATAACGTTTTTTCAAGAACTTTTTTTTTGCCCGGGAGATTAAAAAAAAAAAAAAGCTTATTGAAACTTGTGGGGAGAGAATTCATTTAGTTCACATTGATGGTCTCCTTCAGGCTAATGGCTGAACTTGGCTTTAAAAAACCACTGCATTATTGTAAAGAGTTTGTCTTGCATGAAAAGTAAATAGCCTTTCAATGGTCAGGATTCGTTGTGGTAACTCATCATAAATCAGTGTAAAGAACAATATCAAACAATAAAAATGATATTTTGCCACTGTGGTGGATCTTAAAGTTTTCAAATGTCTGATGTTGATTTTATCAGCTCTTCCCTGGAAGCAAAAAAGCTTCTCAACCTCCCATGGAAGCTGCGCTCCAGGACTGGAGCCAGCTGCGCTATACAATCTCTCCTTCTAGTTCTTTTATCTTCCTTCCCTTTCAGCTGCCGCCAGATCACAGGAACTTCTGACAAAGTCTCTAGTGCCACTTGCATAGGGTAGGATTCGAAGCTGGGTATCTATTGCTGTTCTCTAGCTGTACATACGTATCTTTATGATGCGCTGACCCCCAAACCCACAAACCCACAATCCTCCCTCCTTCCCTGCCAAGTAATTTATTGAAAGTAACCGATTCCTGAAAACAAAAGTCTCCCACGTATCAGACAAGAGTGGAGAAGGGTCCACTTTGGGTCTGGAAAAGCCTGGGCACAACTCTCAGCTCTGCCACATAACTTCTTTGCAAGTGATTATGCTTCTTTGCACCCCACACATAAAACGGAGATATAAAAATGGTCAGTCACAAAAGTGGTCTCAAGTCATGCCTCAAAACTTGCCATGTCACTAAACTGTCATGTTTTGTTTACCCTCTGAATTTGAGCCTGTGGGATATGAGAATTTGAACCATTTTCGATCTTTTTTCTAAAACCATTTAGTTAAAAAGATCTTGGGCAACAGGCTTTTGGCAGAACAGGATCACACAATGAAATTCCCAAAGCTGGCTCATGGGACATCTCTGCCCATCTTCAGGCTTTAAGCTTGACATGTTGTACCTGACAGTGATGTTAGCTGGGGTTTTGGTTTTGGAGGCATTTTTATATGAGGAAAGCCAGAACACAGACTCTGTTATGCATACATGAAAGTGCTTTGCTGGGATGTTATACTTTATTTGGGCATATACCTGTTACCTGTTGGCAAAATGGCTTTAGTTGATGCCCACTGCCTCTTCCAATAGATTTTATAGTGATGTACTGGTGAATGGTGACTTTCTTAAAGCAGAGGGGCTCCCCAGATCCGTACTCATTCCAGCTTTGTCCGAGACAAATATTCCAACACCACATGCGTTTTTGCAATCCCCATTGCAGACATTTAATTGCAGGATGATTCAGGGCACTCTAAGCAGCCAAATTTCCCTATACAGTCAAAGAGGAGCAGTCTCTCCAAGGGTGTTTCAAAGCACGGCTATTGGCTGCCCAGTGCTAGACAGTATGACTGTCTTCTTCCCAAATAATTCAGCCTCTCACAAGAAAATCATGAATCAGGCTGAAAAATTGCAGGACTCCTTAAAAACAGGAAGGGTAATTTGTTTGCTTTTCTAAGTGCACTTGTGGTAGGTTTTTAGGCTGCTCCTCTCCAGCCATATGGCAACACATTTACTACGTCATTGAGCTCCACATGGGCTCTTGGTTCCTGACTCTGGGCCTCCTGCAGTAAAAAAAGTAATATATAAAGGTAGAAAAAGCTCAGAAAACAGCTGATGGAGAGGCCTTCTTGCTTTTCTGCAGGCTGTTCACCTGGCAGTTGGCAGCCTGTCGGCAGGGCTGGCTGAGAAGCCTTGGGGCCATGGCACCAATGGACGAGGACCTCTGGTTCGGAGTCCCTCAGGGTGCAACGAGCAGGGACCATGGGGCTTGGTCTCCCTGGGGCCACGTCCCCAAAGTTGATATGAAACAGGATTTTTTTTCACGGAATGGAAGAGAATCTTATTCCTTTCCAGCTTCAAAGGGATTCCACAGGGCTGGATCCTGCAGGGCTTTGTGCACAGAGGAGGTGAGATCCAAGTATCTGATGCACACAGGGAACAGTGTCAAATTTGGTCTCAGCTTATTGTAATTACAGATTTTCAGCCGCAGTGAGTGCCTGTTCTTCCTCAAGGCAGGTTTCTGTTCAGTTATGCCAACCACCGCTTGAGGATTGCAGATTGATTTTCCAATTCTGTCCTTGGAAATTTGGTGTCACAGCTTTGGTAATGCTAGTTTGCGATGTTGCCTCTTTTATGCCATATATTCTCTTCTCCTGATGTTATTCACTGTGGTCATTAGCACACGCAGACTGTATTTCCTGGGACATACTGTAATTTCAGGCAAACAAAAAGAAAAAAAAAGTGAAAAAAGTGGTTCTGGAAATATTCATTCTGTTGCCTGAATGTAAAAGGTGGCAAGAGGCACATTAAAATTTTCATTAGCCTGAGAGAGAGACACAAAAGTTTGGGTTAGAAGGACCTATTATTATTTCAGATTACATAAGGCTAAAAAGAAATCCTTTATGAGACTTTTAGGATGCGGCCATCTATTCCCTCTCCACGCTACAAGCTCTCTCTCTCCCTCTTTGATGTGAGTAGATCTGTAACCTGGCTTCTGTAATTCCCATCAAAACTCCTTATAATATAGTCTGTTCTAATAATGCCACTGATAACACTAAAACCAGCCAGTTCCCTAGGATACAGAGCAATAAATGTTTTATATAACATCCTCCCTATAAAGTATCCTGAGGAAAACTAGACAACAAGAAGTGGAGTAGACAGGAAAAAATTGGGGTAACATAAGTTTCATATGGGCAGTGGGAGAAAGTTTTGTACATTATAGAAAGGTTAAATATAGGCTGAGTCAAGACAAAGAGAGGTGAACTGTGGTAGAAGTGGGAAATATGCAATGAGAAATGGTCCTTTTTCTGATAAGCAGAGAAATGGAGAATATATTTTGAGATTCAGGTTCAGAAAGGTGATAACTGAAGAAGGAAAAGAAGTAGTGAAAGAGCAGAAGGACTGGAAAAATGTCAGTGTTTGGGGGCTCAGAAGATGAGGCAAGCCTAACATTTTGAAAATTAAGGAGGACTTTGGCACTGGAGGGGAAACCACCAAACAGGAGCAAAATGTTCTTCTTCCAGCAGGCAGCACTCAGGCAGTGCACCAACCACTCTCCTCTTTGAGATACAGGATGATAAGAGCGTGTCTGAGCCCATCTACATCAGGCAACTCACTGAACACACTAACGTAATGCATCTGATCTAGTTCATTTTAGATGGAGGAGGCTCAGGAAACTCAAGATGAGACGAACCAGCTGGCCTTCGCTGGATGTGTGTGACTGCATTGTCCTCATCTTAAAACTGGATCTCCTCTCACCACAGGAGCTTCTAGCAGTTGCCTTGAAGAGCATTGAGCAGTGCTCTTGGAGGAAAACCCAAGGTCTTCTCAAACACACTTGGTTTTACTGCACTGAACATGAGGCTCAGCAGACATGGTTGTTGGCAACGTGCTGTAAGACAAGAAAAGGT